AGTCCAGAGAACCAGGATTTGATTTCCAGCTCCCACATGACAGGTAACAAGAGTTAGTAACTCTAATTACACGAGGATCTGAAGCTCTTATTTGGTCTGTTGAGACACTGCAAGTACATAGAGCACACACGTACGTGCAAGCCAATCACCCAAATGCATAAAAAACGTCTGTAAGCTAAGCCGTGTTCCTCCATCACTTCAGTGCTTTCTAACTGCCCTTCCTCTTTAAGCTTTCCACATTTAGTTGCCCTACCAATTAAACATGGTATTATGTTACACATCTAACATAACCCGACACTACTTATTCAAATGTCAAATCATATGTTATCCAAGACAGTCAATCTAAACTTAGCTTGGGTTTTTCAGCTACCTAAAAAAAAAAAAAAGTATCTTTGGGGCTGGAGAGACGGTGGCTCAGTTCAGCTGTTGCAATGGTTAGTCTTTTGTCAATGCGACACAGTTTAGGGTCAACCTGTGACTCTCAATTGAGATTCATGCTTTCATAAATTGGACTGTAAGCAAGTCTGTGGGATATACTCTGTGGGATATACTCCGTGGGATATACTCCAAGGGATATACTCCGTGGGATATACTCTGAATCACTGAGCGGCAGTCCCGCTTGCTCAGGTCCTGGGCTGTGTGAGAATGCAGCTTCAGCAAACCGAGTAAAGCAAGACAGGAAGCAGCACTCCTCCAAGATCTCTGCTTCAGTTCATGCTTCAAGAGTCTTGCCCTGTTTGAGCTTCTGCCTTGATTTTTCTCAGTGGTGGGAGGTGCTTGAGTCATGTGCATTAAATAAACCTAGTTTTCTTCTAATTGCTTTTGGTCATGGACTTTATCATAACAATAGACTGCAAATAGGATAGCAGTTATGAGAACTTGCTACTTGGACAGAGAACTATAGCTCAGTCTCTGGCACCCACATCAAGCTTCTACACTAATTACAGCTACAGGGAATCTGATACTCTCTCTGAGTCCATAATCACCCTCATGAACTTTCAAAAAAACCACAAACATACACATATATAAATAAAACACCATATACACAAGAACAAGCATGCACAAGCACACAGAGGTCCACATGTTTGCACACACATGTACACACACACACACTCACACAGTTAAAATGATTTCCAAGTAAAGAAAACTGACTGGGTTAGATTGAAATTAGCATTTTAAATATATGGTATATTTTTCTTCGCTGCTAAGTACTTCAACGCATGGCATTACCATTCTCTTGAACCTCGTTTCATGCTTCTTTCTGAGAATATACTTTGATACTCTAAGAAAGACAGTACTATGTACACATGGAATCTGGACTGGGAACCATGATGAAACAGGGTATGGTAGGACAGAGAATCTAGACTTAAATGTGTATTTAGTATATTTTATATGTTATTCAAGAAAGGGTACTAGGGTGTATGCCAGTACAATGATACACTGTTGAAAATATAATAATGAAATCCAACATTCTGTATAATGAATATACATTATCAATTCTAAAAAGAGGGATAGAAGAAAGACCACACAGTGTCTTAAAGGTAGGGGCCACTATGCTCAAACAGATAGCAACCTATAATGAGTTTTCCAAGATTATACATTTATAAGTATGTTGACCCTTTTGACACAAATGCCCATGGACATGGTGCGTATGTCTTGGTGGATCTTATCTGAAGAAAGTGCTTGCCTACACATCAAATCACTGCCAATGGCAACTACCTGTACATTGTAACTTGGACAAGACAGCCTCCTCCATAGTTATATTTGGAAGTAAACTTTTGCATACAATTTTAGTATCCACTGATAGTTTCTACCAGGAAATGCTGTGACAGTGATGTCTTTAAATGGTGGCTTACTATTTGCACCTTTCATTCTATATTTGTCCACTAGAATTCTACCATTAGGAAAGCTATCTTCTTCTGCCTCCTACTCACATACTCAGCCATTGATTTACTACTATGGTAGGTAAATGTCCTCCTATGTTCATACACTGTCAGCGTCATTAACACTCTTCAGAAATAGTCTCACTTGAAGTCACTACTGGTTTCTTTGAAGTGGCTCTTGTGTTTATCATCCTGCTAGCAATATTATTTTTATAAAAGTACAACTTTACTTTTTGTCAGTGCAAAATGTTCCAAGCTCGTCTTGTATTTTTTCTACCCAGATCTGTAATGACTCATTTCTCCAAAAGTCCTAATCACTTGCATTAGAGAAATTGTGTTTAGGAACAAAGATTTGGATCATTGGTGTGTTAATTATATATTGTGCTTGTTGCTGTTACTGTTGATGTTACACCTGCCATTGTTTCTTGGTCCCCTTAGCAGACAGATGCAGAGCACACAAACACATGTTTAACCATTACAATGTATCTCAACACACACATAATAATTCAAACTGATATATGTGGCATATCGGGATTTAGTTTAGCTTTTCTGTTTTCTGTATTTAAACATCATTTTTCCAACAGTGAAATATTTAGGTCTCAGTATCTACAGTGTATTTACTTATTTGCTATCTGGCTCTTAGCATATTTACATGTAGCAGACTTAACATACTTTCAAAATTGACAGTTATGCTCTGGGGCATATTTCGGCATAGTCCGCTTGATCTTGATGTTTTGGTCTTCAGTCCAGGGAGAACTGTACTGGAGGAAGAATTTACTTGGAGATGTTCCTTTCTCCTCACCTAATCACTGTCATCTCTATTCTTGCTAACTGTTCTCACTTACATCACATACAGTTGGACTCTTACCAATCTCATTGGTGTCTGACTTTTTCTTCCTGTATTTCTTTTGTGCACATTAGTAGACTATGCCTTGTTTGTTACAGCTTTTTATTTCTCACAAGAAGGACTGCATTCTACTGACACTTTTTTTTAAGTTTTGCTACACAAACTTAACAATTTATCTTGTAAGATTTCCACATTAACTTCTAGGCCTCTCTCTCTCTCTCTCTCTCTCTCTCTCTCTCTCTCTCTCTCTCACACACACACACACACACACACACACACACACACACACACACACAATTATAGGCTATCCTCTTGTGTGGATGATCTATAGTTTCTTCAACTATTCACCTACTTGAGGGTTTAATGTTGTTCCTATAATTATATAACTATAAATAATGCTACAATATATAGCTATGTGACTATGTGTTCAACAATGTTAGAAACAGACCTGGGATTAAAGGTTGATATTATTTCCTGGTCTGATTCTATTTTAGATCAAATGACTCAATTTAATTTGAGATCACTTTGAATAATAGAAATGGTCTGTAAAATGCTAACTGTATATTATTTCTCTCAGTTTGTTTATCTTGAGTGCAACTTCTGAGGTGGTCTGATTCAATAAATATTTCTCTTTAGCTTCTGGAGCAGATGTTTTATTCTAAAAAAGTTTCCTGTGTCTACTTACATTTTAAGGTGTCTAGTTGTGAAAAATAGTTATTACATTAAATAATTAATCATTCAGAGACAAGGGATAACTATGAGTGCATCTAGTTTCTTTGACTTTCTGAGTGTAGATTATCGATGGAGGTGCAGAGGCAAAAGCATCGTATCATCAGGAGCCTCTTTGTCCTTTGATGCTGAGAGAGCACAGGCTTAGGGACTATCCCTTATATTGACTGGTGCTGTTACGTCTCAACTTAGTTTCCAGAAGATGTGGGGTTCCCAGGTCTCTGGAGACTGTCATCCCTGCGAAGCAAGTAGTGAACATTATCTCAGGCTGCTACCTAGTCGACTGGTCTCTTTCCATGATTCTGTCTCTATTCTGGGTCTAGAATGCTCTCATGTGGCCCAGACTAACTCATCAAGAAATTGCCTAGGAATTTGAAATCTGAGAACTAAACCGTACTGGCTGCCTTTCCCTCTGTGCTGCTATAAATTTCTGTATATTGCACCAGGAAGACATCCAATCGAGCTTCAGACAGCTGCTGATTAAGGTCTGCAAATTTTCAGGAGATGTTTCAAATCTCACTCTCACAGCAGGTTGAACTGAGCAACTTCAAGTACCAAAGAACCTGTTCTAACAAAAGTTAATTTCTGACACAGTGTCTAATGTAAACATATGTAATTACATATCACCCATGTAATTGTATGCCTCATCTATGTACATGTATGTTCACCTATGTAAATATATGTCTAGTTTATGTAAATGCATGCCTTATTTGTATAGATTATCGGTTAAACAATATGTAAATGTAGAATATGTATAAGGCCATATATGTATAAATATGTAATGTATATGTATATATATATAATGTATATGACATATTATGTATAATTATAATACAGTATACACCATAATATATAAACCTGTATAAATGTAGACTGACTTACATAAGTCTGTTTCATCTGTGTAAAAGTACACTTCACCTGTGTAAATGTATGCCTTGTCCATGTAAATTATGTCTGCCTCACTCATGTTAATATATGCACTATTGACATAAGTGGATGCCTTACCTATGTAAATGTATACTCACATATATAAATGTATGCCAACCTATGTAAATGTATGATCATCAATGTATATGTGTCTCACCTACATAAATGCATGCCTTACTTATGTAAGAATTTGTTTTACCTGTATAAATTTATGTTCTGTTATGTACATGTATGCTCAACTATGTATGTGTGCCTCAATTATGCAAATATATACCTTACCCGTTAGTGCACTCATTATCTTTGTAAATGTATGCCCTCCTATGCACGTGCATATCTTCCCTATGTGAATGTATGCTCACTTATGCACATGGATATCTCACCTATTTGAATGACTATATAAGACTTGGTGGGAGCCTCACCAGCTGGGTCAGAATGTGGAGCCCATATCCTCCATGTCAGAGGAGTCAAGTCACATATTAAAGCATGTTTCTGAATCCCAAACTTCTGGAAACTGTATTATAGTTAATGTTTTAAAACATAGGCAATCATGAAGAAAAGAAACTGTCAGAAGCACATAGAGAAAGCTTTGAATGATACTGTTCTTAACTTTTTACCTCCTCGATCACGGGCAGCTAAACTTTGACCCCTTCTTAGTGTGATATCCAACTGGTACATTCCGGGATCAGCCAAAGGGACATCTGCATTACTGGTTCCAACTGTACTTATTCTCTGGAAAATAAAAAATACAGAAAGTACTAAGCTTATTTTCTTTGTTCTACCTTTTCCAATGGGAGACTGCATGGAGTTTAAAACAAAATTAAAAGAATTAGCCAATGAAATCAACCAAATCACATACAGTTGTCTAAAGGATCTAAAATTCATGAAAGTCTTTAGGCTCAAAATGAAAGCATAACATAACATAAGTAACATAAATGTCCTATTTTTAACTCTGTTTACAGCTAGCGATTTCAGTATGAAAAACATTGCCTATAGAAGATTATATAATTCATTTAAGGAAAATTAACACAGAAATAGTGTGTAAAGTTAAAAGTGAATGACAAATGGAAAATGAAGATATGCATTAGAAGTTGCCTTATACATAACTGAAAATTAAAAATGAAAGGATTTATTCCGGTGATTGTATTGTCTCATTCATTTATGCAAAAGGTCTCCTGCTGGTGGATTATACACTTCTATCTTAGATCCAACATAAAATATGATATAATTATAAAGACATAAACTCTCCTAGCATTTTGACAGTATTTGCAAGAAACAAATTCTCACTGAAGCTCAATTTCCGATGTTTCCTTCTTTGGAATCAAAGTGTGCATGCTATTTATGGACTCAGAGTTTTCAGTAGGGCTGTCTAATGGAATATTTTAAACAACAATGCTTAACAAAAATTGTACATTTTATATTTTGTAGTTTCAGCTAGCTTGTATACAGCAGAACTTACTTTCTTCCCAGGTTTGAGATTACTTAAGATTCTCATTTCTTTTCTGATTAAAAGGGGATGTTCTTTAATTTTAAAACTTGCATGGGTAAGAAAGAACAGTAGTGAGCTATCTGGCTCCCAATACCACAATTCACAGGAAATGCAATTATAAAGCAGTGTCAAAAAATTTTACTGAGCTATAATTCACATACTGCAAAGTCACCCTGTAGCCGAATCAGTGCTTTATTTGAGGTTTGAAGATCCTGGTAGAAAGCATTCATTTTGAAACAATTATCACTTAAAAGGTGCACTGTTACTTTGATTGACACCTGAACTCATCATCTCTCCTCTGGTAACAATGAAAAGAATTCATTCTGTTCCCATAATATCCTTGCCTCGATAAAGGGTAGCTGCAGTCCCCAGGCCCCCAGGCTGGAAATTTTGAGCTGTCTTCTTCATTTGACTCCCACTCACACCCAAATAGCTGCTAAATCTCTAGAGTTCTTCTGCACCACATCTCTCAGATGCTTTTTCTTGTAATTGCTACAAGGACTAATAACAAGTCCAATCTTCAACTGGCAGACCCGTGATAACCTTCTTATCAGTTTGGGATACAACCTTCCATACACTTTCAAACCATACTCAAGTATACACAAAGACACATGGTGACTCATATATGTGTCAGGTTTAGTTTTCAGCTTGAACAATGTTAGCATAAGTTTTCTAATATTCACAGGTTATTTAAGAAAAATATCACAGATATTTTTTGACCAATAAATCAGTATTTCTCTCTCCGCTCCCTCTCCCTTTCTTCTACCCTCCCTCTCTCCTCTCTCTCTCTTCTCATGCCTTCCTCCATTCCTTTCCCTTCTGTACTCGTTAATAGCCCTTCTCACTCTCTTGATGTGTAATTAATAAAGAAAATTCTATCATTTTCTGGCATAAAACAGAATGATTTGATCTTCATGTATTATCGAAATTATTAGTGAAATAAGTCAGTCCATGCAGCTCTCCTCCATCTTATTATCATTTTATATATTTTGTTTTATAGTAAAGACATTTAATCAATTTTCAAATTACAATTCAGTATTACTATCAAGCTACATAGTCATTGCCTCTACATATTGAGTCTCTATACATATTCCTGTAATAACTGAAAATTTTTATGTTTTGTTCAACTTTTCCCCGTTTCCCTCAACCCTGCACATGCTAATCATTTTTTATTTTGTTGTAAAAAAATTTTGTTCCTTTTATTGTGTCCTCTGTCTTTAATCTTTGCACACGTTGTATGTGACATCAGTCTACTGAGCAGTTAAAGCTGTTTTATTCCCTCTGTAATTTCTATGTTTCATAATTTCTTAATTTAACATACCATCATAATTACTTTCATAGTTAAAAATATTCTTACAATTATTTTTATGTAGTTCTTTAAACTATCAAAAATAAAATTTAAATATACTCTATGAAATGGAATCTTTTCTCTATCAAACATAATATTTTATTAACTCTTGGAGAACTGTACATAATCCATTTTGAAAATATTCACCCTCTACTTAGCCCCTAACTTCCATGTCCACTCATTACCTTCTCATCTCTCCATTTCCACACTCTCTCTTATTTAAATATCTCACTACGTACAATTTGTGCTGCCCATGTACTCCGGGGTACAGGGCCGTCTCCTGGAGCATGGTTGGCAGCCAGTATCTGTAAATTTCCAATAGTTCCCAAGTACACTTGGCTCCACACGTGATTCTCGTCTAATGTTTATTTCTGTGTTCATTCTGAATCATCTGCATAAAAGACTTTGAATTCTGATACTTATTAGGATGTGCATGAATCGTCACACTTGTCTAAATGTTTCTTACTGTCATTGCATTTTCACCCTGTCTAGTTTTGCTGGGCCAGCAGATAGCTGGGGTTGACTGGACAACTTCCTTTTTCTCTCACTGCAGCCATGTGACTTGCCTTTATTTCATTTTTCTTATTTAGGTAATATGACTACATTAATAACAATACACTGTAGGTTTGAATACCCATAAAATATTAAAAATAGCATCAGACATATAGTAATCACTCAAAGACATTGAGGTTATTAGTTTTATATGAAAATGATATTCTGATAACCTGTGTTGAATTTCTACATCAATATGAGAAAGGTTTATAATTTCATGAATAACATACTCTTGAGGGAAATATAACTTTCCAGTTCTTTTAGGTCCTGTTATGTGACCTTTAATAACACAATATTATTTTCTTCATATTGGTTCTACCTCTATCTAATTTTATTCTTGAATGTTCGCAGGGTTTTTCCTCTCTATTTTAAATGGAATGATTTTTTTCCAATTTCCATCTTGATCAGGTTATTTCTGATCTAATGAACATATGTTCTTTTTTTATAGTGATTTTTATCTCCTTTCATTCTGCAACTCATGTGTATAAAAAATCTTCTGCATATAATGTAATATGTTCTTTATTCCTCTTTTGTAATATTTTAGGTTTTTTAAATATTGTTGCTTTTCTATAATGCTGTTTAGAATAGAAATTTTGGGCACTTCTGAATTGCATCTGATTTTTAAAAATAATTTTAAAATGTTTTACATTATAGTACCACATCATTCCCCCTCCCTTGCCTGCCCTCTAGTCTTTCATGTATTTCTAGCATATTACTAATAACATGATGATCATTATATTTAAGGTTTTTATTCTACTCTGAATTTACTTGGGTTTTTAAAATTGATAAATTTTACAATAAATTTATACCAACATTTTGGTTGGTAATTTTTCTAATATTGAATCATCACTATATTGGAGGAATAAACTCTACTTGCCCTTGTGAGTGTATCTGCTTCCTGACACAGTCGTGATTATGTCCAAAACCATGAGCTGTACCCAGTGTACTTGCATGTGACTATTAGTCTTAATCAAGCCTTCCCAGCCTCCACATCCGAAGTCAAGCTGGCTTTGTAAGTGTGCCTTTGACTGTTGTCTTTCCCAAATTCTGGACTATTTTTCTGTTAATAGATTAGGACTTACATGTTTATTCTCCACCGTTATATGCCATCTCAAATTCTAATTCTGTCATTTTTAGATTGTAAAATTCTAATATAAAGATCTGGAGTGTCTAAGGATAAACTGAGCATGAGTTACAATGGATGCTTCAGGGGTATATTCTTCAAGGACACAGCATCAAGCTGGATTTAGAAAAACATGTAGATCTTCAACCAAGTTTGCTAACCCACGGGCAGTTTCTTGCTTTCTTTTTTCACTGACATCTGGCTTAATGCCTTTTTCCTTGAGGAACCTAATTATGCCCTTGTTCCTAACACAGTGCTTCAGGCATCTTTACACTTTATGAAAATGGAAGTTAATCTATCAAGAAACTATATGGAAATTAGATTGAAACATGGAGGTATTTAGCCTTTAGAAGATAATCTGAGGAAGCCACATGGAGATGATGTGTTCAGGGGCTAAAATTATGGGGAAGATTTTGACAAATGACTATTTGGAAGAGTGAAGAAAATTAACTAACCTGAGCCTAGGATTGAGTAATTAAAAAATGTGCATAAATGTTCTGATACACAGTGAGAATTCCTGGAGTATGATGATACCACACTGAGGATAATTTCAACCCACTAATAAAAATAAGCTTTGATGGACTTTTGGAGAGAGAAGCCATGCCTATAGACCACATTTACCAAATACTTTGCATCTGTTACTTCCTGATTCATGCTCTTATCTACATACTTAGATTCTGGAGATGAAGAAACCTCCAGCTTTACCCTTAATAGGGAGAAAAGGATGGATGAAAGTGGGGTAACTCTGTGGATATAGACATTATTTTAAAATGTTTGTAACAGTGCAGTTGAAGTCACAAGAGTGTGATCTGGCCAATGCTCAGACAAACAAAGATGGATCTGAGAGATATTGGAAAAGAAGCAGTCAGCTGAATTTGCCAACTGACACGATGTGGCAGATGTGGAAAGCAGATGGATGAGTCATGCAGAAGTCTGGCTGAGTTCCTGGAAGGATGGAATGGAGTGGTAAAAGATAGAAATCAAGGGACTAGCATGATTGATCTAGGCCACCACATCAGGCTCCAATAGCATCCCAGCCCTATGAAAGAAGGACCTCAGAAACTCAAGTAGACCTAGAGAGGCATTGCCCTACAGGCTTGTACAGTGTTTTCAAGGTTATCAGGATAATCAGGATAATAATAATCAGGATAATGTTGGAAGGATTT